CGCATTCGGCCGGCTGTGACGCGTCCCCAAAGAGCTGATAGAATGCCTGAATCTTGGGTGCAGCTGAATGGAGTGCAAGGCTCTTTTCGTACGAGGAAAGCGCGCTTGGCTCCGTTAGGAACCCACGTGCCTGAAGAAGAGCGAGCGCGGTATGGTAAACATAATTTGGCTTGTGAACAGTTTCAGTGATCGGTCCCAGTAGTCCACTTGATGAGGGGTTCGTGAGAGCATCGATAATTTCGAAGTAATGGTCTGGGTGCTCTGCCGTTGCGGTTTCACTAACCAGCGCGTTAGCTTCTTCAATTAGGACAAAGTATATACTGACATGATCTCGAGAAGCAGGGATGGAGCGGCCCATGATGTTGTCAGTGAAACTTTGATAGGAGGCGAGACATTGTCTGCTACTACCAGCGAGGCAGCAATTCCCAACGTGCTCAAGGCCGACAGCGACCTCATTCTGACGAGTCATTTAGTTCGCGCCGAGAATCATTTTTATATAAATCATCTTACTTGGTCTACGAAACGCTGTCTGTATCCGTATGTAGCAGGCGTATCTCTGATTTCAATACGCGGTCGACGTGGTCAAGTGCAAGAGCTGGGCGCTTACTATGACGTCCTTAGACTTTTCGTTGCAAATTACTCGGTCGCTTCGAGCTCGACTTTGACCAGATCGAAACTGCAAAACTTGCGCATATCTATCATCGTGCTTGGCTGGTAGTCTGTTATCGCATGGGAGTAGAATATCACACACAATAACCGTGGTCTAATTGTTCCAAGCCAACGTCACTATGAGCTCACTAGCAATACGTGCGCCCAGTAAAGGCTTGAAAGCGGCTGGCTTAGTATATTCGACATCTATAACTCGTACCACTTCTTGTTTAAATCGCTCTGTTCTACCTAATCATTCTCAACTGCTGAGTCGAATAACTCTGGGTTCTCGTCCATATTCCACATTTCAGGAGGAATCGGGTAGTCGAGTCTCCACGATCTTCACTGGCCTGATCCTAATAGGGATCGGCGTAACATCGTACGGCCTGTGAGTCAGTTTGCTCCATACAAGGGTCGATATCTAAGCAAAGTATAGCTACGAATTTTATTCGACGTTTACTACATGGCCAAAAGAGCTAAGAGGCGATTTACGTTCTGCGGTCAAGGCGGAATATCAGGGAGAACTCAAGATATCAGAGGCTTATTTCCGTCGGTGCGTACTACGCTGGCACTCTGCGTCCTGTGGTTGAATTAGGCCACTAGAGCATGGGAGAAAGCGCAAGGACTCCCACCCGAAAAGCTAGGTGGCGAACATCATCTCAAAGTCAGTGGTATTGGAATCGCGCTGGCCGCTGTCCTAGAAAAACAAAAGAACCTGCATGGCGCATATGAGATATATGCTCGTGCATTTGCCGACATTATTCGGGCACCACTTCCACCTGCGCCAGCTCCAATCTTATCTGGTCCGGAACGTATGCGTGCAGTTGGACTTTCTATGAAACTCGCAGAATTGGCATCAAGATTTGGGCAAAAAGAAGACGAGGAACGATATTTGGTATTCGGAGTTGAGGAGGTTCTAAGGATGGTGAAGGAGGAGTCCGAATCGGCACCAACCCCGAGTAGTCAAATATCCGAACTTCAGGAGCCAAAACAAGAACTGTCTCTACCTACCTGGGTATCTCGTACAGACGCAGGTGTTGTACTGGAGAGATTGGCCGAGTTTTATTCGAAAACAGGACGACAAGAGTAGGTATAGTTGTTCTCCTGTCAACACGAGGTTCTGATGACCTTCCAGCTACGCAGTACCACTCTATCTCCAAGCAATATCAATCCTCCTACCTCCATCCAAATCGACAAGCCGAGCTCCAAGTATCACCGACCGATGTCGAGGTTCGCTGACCTGCTCTATATTTGGGGCGAAATGATAATTTTCCTCAGGTGCAATGCTGATGAACAATCTTGCCGAAATATTCGCTACCCCTACTTCCTCTAAAAAGGCAAACCTCGAACAGGCAACCGCATGGGCAAAGAAGGGACTGGCGGTTGCACAGAAGGCACGCAGCGAGATTAAACCTAACGCAGATAAGAAAGCACCGGATGACCCGACTTCCATCTGCGAATCCGTGCTCGCCGTTCTAGTGTACAACCTTGGGATGTTGAGCGAGGTGAGCCGTATGACGAAGCTTGTCCTTCATTTACTTATAGAAAATCTTGTAGAAAAAGGATGACATTAAAGGAGCACAGGCATTCTTCAAACAGGCATTGCAACAGTCGGCAAATGCAGGGTTTGAGGAAGGCAGGGTTGAAGCCGAAAAGGCACTGGCTCGTACAAGTAGCACATGAACACCCAAATGTCGTACTATTTTAGTGCGAGGCATGAGTTGATCCAATTTTTATTCATAAGATCCGCATGTATTACTCGAACAGACCGAGCGGAGGCAGCAGCGAAAAATGTGGGAAATTATGACATTCACGACTTATAGTACACCTGAGCAAATACCCATGGATGGAATCAAACCATCAACCGGTATTTCGCGCACTAAGGCCTTTTTAAACGGCCAGTACGCATGATAGTAGAGTTGTATCAAGTCTTCTACACTTTTTTGGTCTCGGTACCTCTGAATCTGATGAATCGTCTTGCTTTTATAAGTATGCAGGGTTAAAAATTGCATCAATTCCACCACTAGCCCTTTGAATTATACTGCCTTTACCGTACATGAACGAGTCTAACAAAATATATCAGAGATGTGCCGCTGGAGGAAAGGAGCAGTAGGAGCCGGACACAGGGCTCCGGCTCAACCTCACCTGGGAGGTCAGCGGCCCGGCTGGCCTGCGCTGTGTGACTTTGTGGGGATGTCGCGCTGAGGATATACGAGGGATGTACGCATATACCCAGTAAAACGAGCGGCGTTTGTCTTAGAGGCCTCATCTAGTTTAACGACAAGGCGACGAGCGACACCAGGTCTTGATTCGGACAAGCAGCGGCTATATAGATTGCACGCAACCACCATGTATACACATACTCTACTGGTTCAGTCCCAGCCAGGCAATGATCTGCGGGTACTGCACGGGCATGTTGTGGCTCTCGCCCGTCGCGAGGATGGCTTGCACGTTCGATCCGTAGTCCGTCCTGGTCCAGCCCGAGTGCAGGTAGTTCTGCGTCGTCGACGTCGGCGTCTGGCTCACTCCGAACACGTTCGTCCACTGCTTGATCTCCTCCTGGAGGTTCTGCGGGTACAGCGTCGTGTCCACCGTCCCGTGCCACAGCTGCATCTTCGGACGCGAGCCGGTATAGCCCGAGTAGCCCGACCGAACAAGGTCGCCCCACTGCTGGGGGTCTTGATGAGTTGTCCCGTGGCGCACTGCGAGTTCCAGAAGCCGGAGCCGGCGAAGCACCCGTAGGCGACGCCCATGTGGACGCTGCCCGCCTTGATCAAGTCCGGGTACGCGCCCGCCATGACGTTGGTCATCATGGCCCCCGACGACAGACCCGCGGCGACCACTCGAGCCGGGTTGACGTTGAGCGCCGTGGTGAGGTAACGGATCCCGCTCGCAATCCCGAGAGAGTCTCCACCGCCGTTGTGCTTGAAGGTTGCGCTGCTGTAGACGTCCCAGCATCCGCTGGAGTCGCTGGTGCCCGGGTACATCACCACGAACCCGTACTGGTCGGCGTACTGCTTGAACGACGTGCCGGTGTACAGGGCCTGGGCGGAGCCTCCACAATAGTGGAGGGCGACGAGCATGGCCGGGTTGGACTTGACCGATGTCGGGACGTAGACGTAGAGCTTGACGCCGGTCGGGTTGGTACCGAAGTTGGAGATCTTGCGGGATGTCAGTAACTGCGTACGCGACTGCTATTGGATGCGCAAACGTACGGGGGCTAGAGTTCCTTTCGGAATGTTTGCCCTTCTGGTGGGTGTCGAGGCTCCCGAATCGGAACCTGGTTGGCATCTGCAGAATGGTTATAAAGTGACAACCATTGACGCGGAATGACTTCTACTCACTGGTGATAGGACTCGGTCACGTTCACACAAGAAGTCCCTGAGTCGCACATAGTTGAACCAGAGTATCTAACCCCCTAGTGGCTCTTCAATAAGGAAGTAACGACGCATACATTTACCATGACTTACACCGCATTGGCCCCACACGGAAACCGCTGCAACCTGATGCGCCAGAGCGCCGATAGAAGCGAGGGCAACTACAATAGATCTCATGGGAGTAGGGAGTGTGATGCTGGGCGAGAGTTTTCATCATCGGTATTTGAGTACTGTGCATGGAAACAGGGCTGTTAGCTGTTACCTCGAGAAGTGTCCTTGTGACCTATACGAAGAGCTAAAACAATCTCATTGAGCGGATTCTAACCGATGGTTGAAACTTTAACCAATTTGTCGAAGCGTCGGCGAACGCTCCTCCAATTGGTCTCGTGGCACATGACAGCAACAGAAGCTCGCTGGCGAGCTGGAATAATTTTGAACGAGGTCTCAATGCTACTATAGCCCGATAAAACTACGAAGTGATGGCTGGAGCATTTAGCCTATAGCCAAGCAGTGCTATTATTGGGCACACAGGCTTCTGAGACCTGGCTAGAACGATGTTTTGTAAACACAAGACCCGACAAACCTACGGAGGGAAATACAGAGAATACATGTTCATCGATAAGGCCAAGCCCAGTGTTTTCATTCAACATCACACCCTCTAGTTTTAACCAATTTGTTCTGCCTTGTCCATATACATAGTTTTCAAGCTAGTAGGTTGGATGCATTGGTGCTGATACCTGAGGGCTATCAACATGATTAGAATCTAAAACTACGCCCATGATCTAACAGTCTTGACTCGGGGTCAAGGCGTTATAGTGTAATAGGTGTTACTACGGATTCTGAATGGATCGGTTTCAATCCCGTGATTACGTAGTTTGGATAAAATACAATATCCTAAGCCTGACTAAGTTGCACAAAACAGGACATAAGGAGTATTGCAGCATATATGACACTTGAATCGCAAATTTTACTAACGGCGCTATAGTGTAGTGGTTATCACAACGGATTCTGATGAACAATCGGCTTTCCGTTAACCCCAGTTCGAGTCTGGGTAGTGCCTGGTTTTTCATGCTCGAAACCTGTACGGAGCCGCGCGGACTTGGATCCATGACACTATATTTGGTCATTGTTTTACCGATTACTGCCATGCCTCAACTAAATGACGTAGTTTATGGTTCTTACTAGTAGGTGCTCGAATTTGACAGAGTTTAACCGACCGTTCCACCATCGTCATCTTTTGTACACGATTCCACCACTAAAAGCCAAGCCCCCAAGCATCTATAGCCGTGATCCTCATTTTTTACGCAGTGTATACCAAGAATTGAGGGTTAAAGTCGAGCAGCACATTGAACCATAAAAATTAAGCTGGCGCTATCCACCACTTGGTCCTTGAATCCAATTTGGCACACTTGTTAGCCTAGTCGCTATCCATTGTGTCGCAACATGTCATACATAAGCGCTAAGGTCTCGCTTATCTTATTCGATCAGTGTGTAGAAATCAGTGTATTGAACCGATTTCTAATGTAAACTATAAGCTTCTTAACTAGAGCTGCTAAGCTCGTATAAGTGTATTCGAGAGTAGACGAGAGTACAAGAGGGTGAGGAAACTACAGACAAGAGCGAAGCTCTTTTATACAAGGTAGAGACAATAGACGATCTACAAGTGTGATACATGTGTGAATAGCTATCGTGCAAAGCATACATGTAATACAAAGTAGAAAAGAAAACATGTTCGCTATTCATTAGAATGCCATTCAATATATATTGCCATTCACCATATCGCAACACAGTGGCCGTTGTAGAACTCTTGGCTTCTCTTACTTAGTTTCTTTTGTAAGCGGGCCTTCAGCGAGCCTTGCTGTAATGAACGGCGTAATTATACTATCTCGGCTATGCCTATTTGTGGGAGTCAGGCTGCGTCTTTCTTTGGTACGATCGGAACCAAACATCAGCCTAAATGCTCGTTACCACCAAGTACGGAACATTGGTGAGTGGACGAACATTCAAGCCATTACTTCGCAAATTTATCGGACTGCAACCCCATAAAGTAACACTTGATGTAGTTAACGAACTTCCGTTCGTTGTCATGTGCTACAAAGCCGGACGACCAACGCTTATAGGTGCTTCCATGAGTCGGGTAAAGTTTGAGCCATAGGCTTAAATAGGTTCGGCAACGATTCTTATGACCTTTGCACAACTCACAAGCCGTTTTTTCGGCGTTATTAATTAATTAGTTTCGGAGTGGTGTACTTAAATAGAGGCATGGTTGGGTCCTTCACTATGTAGTCCTCTTCCGCTACTCTCATTAGTCTTATGAGATCCATCATCGCCTCTGTCGTTTCCATTGTTGCCCTGGTGCATCATGTAGCTGGAGTAGCTGTGTGGGGCCAGTGCGGCGTAAGTAATAGCGGATGTATGCCCGGTCTCTTGATAGCTGATAGGGTATCAGGGAATTGGGTACTCTGGATCAACAGTATGCGATTCAGGGAGTACTTGCGTGCATGTAAATGACTATTACTACCAGTGAGTTTGGTCCCTAACAATCTGAGTATGTTGTTTCATTGTTTTCACATCTACAGATGTCAACCTGGTAGTTCGAGCCCTACAACGACCGCTGGAGGATCCACTCCAACTGGGGGCGCAAACATTCCGAAAGGAACTCTAGCCCCCGTACGTTTGCGCATCCAATAGCAGTCGCGTACGCAGTTACTGACATCCCGCAAGATCTCCAACTTCGGTACCAACCCGACCGGCGTCAAGCTCTACGTCTACGTCCCGACATCGGTCAAGTCCAACCCGGCCATGCTCGTCGCCCTCCACTATTGTGGAGGCTCCGCCCAGGCCCTGTACACCGGCACGTCGTTCAAGCAGTACGCCGACCAGTACGGGTTCGTGGTGATGTACCCGGGCACCAGCGACTCCAGCGGATGCTGGGACGTCTACAGCAGCGCAACCTTCAAGCACAACGGCGGTGGAGACTCTCTCGGGATTGCGAGCGGGATCCGTTACCTCACCACGGCGCTCAACGTCAACCCGGCTCGAGTGGTCGCCGCGGGTCTGTCGTCGGGGGCCATGATGACCAACGTCATGGCGGGCGCGTACCCGGACTTGATCAAGGCGGGCAGCGTCCACATGGGCGTCGCCTACGGGTGCTTCGCCGGCTCCGGCTTCTGGAACTCGCAGTGCGCCACGGGACAACTCATCAAGACCCCCCAGCAGTGGGGCGACCTTGTTCGGTCGGGCTACTCGGGCTATACCGGCTCGCGTCCGAAGATGCAGCTGTGGCACGGGACGGTGGACACGACGCTGTACCCGCAGAACCTCCAGGAGGAGATCAAGCAGTGGACGAACGTGTTCGGAGTGAGCCAGACGCCGACGTCGACGACGCAGAACTACCTGCACTCGGGCTGGACCAGGACGGACTACGGATCGAACGTGCAAGCCATCCTCGCGACGGGCGAGAGCCACAACATGCCCGTGCAGTACCCGCAGATCATTGCCTGGCTGGGACTGAACCAGTAGAGTATGTGTATACATGGTGGTTGCGTGCAATCTATATAGGCACTGCTATGCCTTTGCAATTTCATTCGGTTCCAACGGCGAGACGACGAAAGATAGCAAATCTTAGGTCGAGCAACTCGACTGGCTCGGGCTCTGGGAATTATTTATTGGGTATATGCGTACATCGATCGTAAACGCCCGGCGCTAGACGCCTACAAGGTTTCCCAGCGCAGACCAGCCGGGCCGCTGACCTCCCAAGCGAGGTCGAGCTGAAGCTCTGTGTTGGGCTGCACATCGCACACCCATTCTACCGTCCCTTCTCCACCAACATCGAGATCCGCCCAGCGTGCCTTGACCCCATTTTGCACACTCTTCCAAGATCGACCTTTGTTTTCCTTCGCATCCTCTGTGTCATCTATGACTGGCCCAAGCCCTTCTGGGGAGAACACATTAACTTTGATGCGAACGTCGGTACTAACGGGCACATGGTCTAGTACGCGCAATCCAGAAATGGGAGATGAACGCGAGTTTCGGATAGAGATACGTTGAGAATGGGCCACGACCGATTGTTTCGAGTCCTTGGTTGAGAAGAAGCGGGCATGATCAGTTTTTCTATTCAAAGTCCGGATGGTAGGGTATGTGACTCGAAGTGCGGGATCGACGCCCAGAGATGTCTTGAAGGAATCACTGGGAGCAACGTGCTGTGGATCAAGAACAAATTAGACACATCTCGGAAACCCGTTGGATACTCGTACCTCGATCCGGCTCTTAGACACAAAGTTGTTGTCCATGAATACACTCGCCTCGCCCGGCAGAAGCGTAAACTCGCTCGTGTTGACGATTTTGGCCTATAATTGTGAATCGTTATTCCTGATACCACCTAAATATCCTCCTTGACACTATACTCACCCTTAAAAATACCCTCTCTTTTTCGCGCGGGATACATATCCATTCGAGTTCGGCCGCCAGACCAAGCACAGCAATCACAACTTTATGACTACCCTCGTCACTCGGAATATTACTGTGACCGGATATGCCAAACGTAGCACTAAGAACGCCAGTGCTGACCACCTCGGCTGAACGGACAACCATCTTTGGGGCAGCTGCTCCCCATGACCTCGAGCTTTCGCTCTCCGATCGTTCACTCAATCGTCTCCCTGGTGGAGGTGGAGCACTTCTACCAGGCGGCGGCGGTGGAGCCGGGATAGCCAGACTGTAAGAGAGAAGTGGAGCAGGGGCGGGAAACCCAATTTGCCAGGCAGAGAGCTTGGGTACGTCGCCCCCTTGCTGAGGAGACGCTGTTGAAAGCGTCAGGGCAACACCTGGCCAGTCCTCGCCTGTTGTTTGTGTGATCGATGCACGATAGTGCAATGCAACGGTGGATTTGTCGTTGGATGATTTGGCGATCGAAGCTCGGACATCGTACAGAGGAGTCCAGCTTGCGTTCGACACAACTAAGCGGGAGTGAGTATTGATTTTCGATGGGCCCCGTACAACTGGCTTACCATATGTCAATAACAGATCGGCAGGGCCATCCACTTCAGCCAAAACAGTCACGGTGATTTTTGTCTTTCGCTTCATGCCTCGATCGTCGACATGGACCTCTGCTCGCGCCTGGTCCACTTCTTTTTGTGCATTCTCAATCTTGATGTCCAGCTCCTGAATTTGCTTAGAGATTGCGATCTTGCGCGGTCCGAATATGTCGAGGAAACGACCCATGTCCTCGATATTGACGCGCTCGCTGTTGAGAGTTTTGCCATACCCACTCAATACGTTGCTCTGTTCCTGGGCAACTTCACGTTCTTTCTGTAGAGATTCGAGTGCGCGGAGAGAGACAGCGAGAGACTCAGACTTGGTCACGTTGGGCGTGTTAGGCTGTTTATGAGGATTGTGGTAGACGACGTCGAATATCATGGCCGTGCCTGTTCCGTCAACACGGATGGAATCTTCATTGATACAGTTTGGCAACCGCTCGATGTCGATAAGGTTTTGCCCTTGCTAGGAACCAAGACACAGGTCAAAGTTGTGGATCATAGGACACATTAGACTCGTGAGCGTACCTTGAGTTCAAGCACAACACGCCGTTTGATTTCTGCGCGGTTTGATTGAAACACAGTAACAGATTCGATGTGGTCATCCTGGTCTGCAGAGTTGACCGAGATCTTGTTTGTGGCAAGTTGGTTGGATGACATAGCGGGTGATGTTGTTGGAGGAAAAGCCGCCCCTGCTAGATCCTTTGCAAGCGTCCGCGTTTATATAGGGCGAGACCTGCCGGTTACCTTGACGGGTTCAGGGAATGGGATTCACTTGGCATGACTCGGGCGCACGAACGTTGAATTCTTCGTTGCGCTGCGGCGAACGGATTTCGATTTCGAGACACAGCACTCGCTGCGAGCTAATCCATTGTAGCTCTGTGCCGACGGTCGGAAAACGATTCTCTTGTCGTGGCTGGTCCGAATAGAAAACGATCAGGCACACTAGGAGAGATCGAGGCGTTCTGTACCTCGCCAGAGGCTCATTGCCACGCTGTGGTGAGTCATAGATTATGTAATCTACCAT